CAGGCCAGGCCGGTCTCGAGTTCAGGCGCTGCTGTCTGAAGCCATGTGAAATGTGATCTCGGTCCTTCCTCAGTCCTGGCAGCTGCGGGTGTCTTGTTCCTCAAATAGCTAGAGCCTGCGGGACTGTGAGGGACGAGCTGAGTACTCCCTGCCCTCACCCTCTGGTTAGGAGACCTGTGGTTCTGAATTCACCAGTCAGAGGTTTATTTTTCAAAGAAACCACGATCTCCTCTGAGTCTGAGACCAAGACCTTGGTTGGCTGTGAGTGGAGCCTGTGGTGCAGGCAGATCTCTGGTGTTCGTAGTAAGACCTAGAGGAGCCTGGGGTTTTCTGGCACTCAGCCGTCTCCTTTTCTGCTCAGAAACCTGTGCTGAGGAAATGGTCCTCATGGTGAGACTCTAACCCTACCGCTAACCCCACCCCAGTGGGGACGAGGGCAGGAGGCGAAGGGCACAGGGCAGGCCATTCTCTGAGCCGGGCGGCGAGGAAGAGGGTAGACGAGAAATCCAGTCTGACCTGCTTGTTCCAGGTCCTGAAAATGGCAGCGGACACAGCGTGGGTGCTCAGTACCCGTTGGATGGACAAGTGCATCAAAAGAACAGTGAACACGCGTGATTTCAGTAACTCAGACATCAAAGAAGTTAGATACAGGGCCGGCCCCGTGGCTTAGCGGTTGGGTGCGCGTGCTCCACTACTGGCGGCCCGGGTTCGGATCCCGGGTGCGCACCAACACACCGCTTCTCCGGCCATGCTGAGGCCGCGTCCCACATACAGCAACTAGAAGGATGTGCAGCTATGACATACGACTATCTACTGGGGCTTTGGGGCGGGGGGGAAGTTAGATACATGTATCATTACATACACATACAGAGTGTCACCAGCTGCCTCTCCAGAAATAACTTCTTTTAAAGTGGGATTTTATTTTGATTTTATCCAGCCTTACAAAAAATTTCTGTTAATTTTTCCACACACACGTATGCTTATAAACACAGGTGAGGAATTTGTTTGAAGGTTTTAAAGTATAAATGGATTCGTTGGGCATATTCTGCAACTTGCTTTTTAAAAAAATTGTGGTGAAGTACACATGACATCAAGTTTCACCATCTTAACCATTTTTAAGTATAGAGTTCATTAGTGTTAAGTATATTCACATTGTTGTGCAACCAATCTCCAGAACTTTTTCATACCCGTTAATCAACGTGCAACTTGCTTTTTTAGTTTAGCATGTCTTAGCATCCATGACTGAACTCGTAGAACCAGCGTGCTCTTTTTTACAGCTACAGAGTATTCTGTAGTATGGATGTGCCATAATTTAACTGTCTGCTATTGAAGCGCATTTTGTTTGTTTCCGTTTTTTTTTACTATTAGTATAAATTCTGCAAACATCATGTACGATATCTTTGGGCACAATCATAGGGATTTCTGTGGGATAGATTACTAGAAGTGAAATAGCTAGATCAGAGTGTATATACATTGTAGGTTTTGGTAGGCACTGCCAAAAAGCCAGTATCAATTTATGAATGAATGTGCTTTGCATATTGCTTTCTGAATGAGAGGTCCATGAAACGATTTCTGTCAGCAGGGGGGCAATCCGAAGACAGGATAAGTCAGCTGAGACGAAGAGGGGGTCTGAAGCACTTCTCAAAACTGATGGATGGATACCCTTGGCCACATCGTGGGCGACTGGAAAAATCAGATCTAGAGGGAACAAGGGGATTCCTTCAACCTCTCCCCACATCAGCGGCTCTGTTCACCCAATTATGGGTATTTGCATATATTTTGGGTGTGTAGGCAGAACGGCTCAAAGACAAATCTGGGGTTCAGCCTTGTTCAGCTTCCTACTGGTGTTTGATCTCAAGCAGGTTACCTGACCTGCTTCTCAGATTGGGGAGTGAGTGCCCCTGGGAGGAACACCAAGGAGTCAAGGTGTGCAGATTGCTGACCTCAGGCGACTGCAGGAGCTGTGAGACGCTTCCTTCCCAGAGTGCCAAGCCGGGAGGTTAGGGGAGGGATCTCCCTTGGTGAGAGAAAGGCGCGTGGTGGAGGAAGTGGCTTTGGCTCAGAGTCCTAGGTGGTGTGGGGGACACAGGAGACTTGCAAGCACTTTTTCTTACTATTCAGGAGCTCAACCACATTACCCCAAGAACCCTTGATGGGACACTGATTGTATGCCAGCCCTCTGCTGATTACTGAGTCTGAGGAATCAGGCTTGTGATGTGGTCAATAGCTCAGATGCACACTGCACAAGAGAAAGCTTTGGAGTTACAGTACACTGGGTTCAAACCATGGGCAGGTGACTTGACCTCCTGAGCCTCAGTTTATCAACCAGTACAATGGGGATAATGTGGCACCCCATAATAATTATTAATAATATTTATAGTAATAATTACTTACTAATTATGAGAATGTTCCTCATAGACCTCCTATTACTGTGTCATCATCCAAGGGCCCCAGCTGCTGTGCTCTGAAATCCATTGCTGCATCTGGGCTGAAGCCAGGCTTCTCTCTGCCTGCTCCAGCAGGGCTTGGGCACAGCAGGGATGCTAAGGCACGTGGTTCCTGGGGGAGACAGGACTCAGTGACTACTGACTTTGGCCCGAGGGCTCCTGGGCGACTCTTCGGAACCTTCCTTAGGCTGCACAGTAGTCTAGGACGCTTGTACCCGCCCTTGTCTTCCATCCTCATTCAATGGGGTCAGACAAGGTCTGGCGACTCTCCCTGCCTGCATGGCTCCCTCCATTTTCTCTCATCAAGACATTTCCTCTAATAAAATCCTTGCACGTTCAATCCTATTCTGGCATTTGCTTCTCAGAGGACCCAGACTAACACAATATCACCCACCTCATAGGGCTGTTACTAGGAACAAGTGAGAAATCCTGTAAAAGCTTGAGCGTAATGCCTGGCACACAGTCAGCACTCACTATTATCATTTTCACAGTGGGTAGTCTTATTGTACCAGTGTGAACAGGTTGATTTAACTAGAAAGGAGAGTTTGGGTTTAAAAATCAAGACATGCTTCCTGCTCCTTCCCTGCTTGGTTTTCTCACAAGTCTTCTGTCTCCCACTGCCCTGCCCCTCACAGGGCCCCTCACACGTGCCCTTGTGTGATGGTGATAATTGTCCCTGCGGGAGCCTGGGCTGGCCGGGTCGCTCTCTGCTGGGTGAGGGTGATGAGCACTGTGAGGCTCTGGGTGAGAAAGGAGGTTGCTGCAGGATCTGCTCCAGAGATGCTCAGGCCACTGGATTTTTGGCTTTTCAGCCCGGCAGAGAGGACCCCACCCGTGCAGGGAGAGGGACTTGCTGAGAGGCAGTGTAAGTAGCTGGGTGGGTCACTGGGGGGCGTTGGCAGCTGGGCAGAGTTGGAGGCCAAGGGAGGATGATGGGAAGACAGTGCACCTTCCAGTGAAACAGGGGCCGTGAGAAGTGAGGGTGAGTCACAGGGTTTCTCTCAAAACTCTCATGCCCGTGGTCTCCAGAATGAGCTGAAAGAGGAGGCTGCCAGCCCCAGCTTGGCCCAGTTCTAAGAATGCGTCCCCATCCCTCCCCTCCCACAGTTGCCAGAATTAATCAGGCCCCTGACTTTGGGGTATTGTTCTCTTCTCTTGTAAGAGTTTGGCAAAGAAAACCACTGGATTATATCCCAGTGAAGGAGGCTGCAGGGATCAGGGCTGGTTGGGAGGAAATGTGAGAGCAGCTGTGTCTGGTCTGGGTTTTAGAACCGGGTTCTCCCTGCTCTCGCCACCAAAGAACACGTGGCGTGGGCAGTGGAGGAGAGGCTGTGTGGTGTGTGCAGGCTGGAACCCTGGCCATCTGCAGATCTGGATCACGTTCTGGCTCTTCCGCTGGCCAGTTCAAGGCCCTCACCTTCTGTAAGCCTCAATTTTCCATCAGTAAAATGGCGACAGAAGAGCATCTTCATCATAGTGTTTTTGTGAGAATTAAATAGCTAATCAGTGTATCACAGTGTAGCTAATCATTGTTACACAATTGTAACAATCTTGTGTAGTACAGGACCCTAATATTCAGTAGTTGACCGCTTACTTGGAACACCTCCCAAAGGCAAAGAGAAGGCAGTGAAAGTGCTCATAGAGGTTCAAGACCCCTCGTCAGCGGCCAAGCCACAGTGTAGGGGCCCATAGCATTCACGGACCTGAAGGGCTGGGAGGGCACAGTGTAGGGCATTGTGTGCCCCCGCCCCAGGTCCCCCAGAGGGAACGCTCCTCCTTCAGCTATCTGCACTGCTCATTTCCTTTAAGTTTTGTTCATGTGTCACTTTTTCGGTGATGCCTACCCTTATCGCACTATTTAAAACTGCAATCTTCCTCCCACCTCTGAGTCCTCACTCTGGGCACTCTCTATTCCCCTTCATGGCTTTATTTTTAGAAATCTTTTTTACTGAAGTATAATGTACCTACACAAAGTTACCCTAGTTATTTTTTTGCCCCATAGATCTGATCACCTTTAACAGTCTGTGTAACTTACTTATAATGACTGGGCTGTAGGCTGCACAAAAGCAGGAACTTGTGTCTGCTTTATTCACTGACGCATCCCCAGCACCCGGCACACAGTAGGCCCTCAGATATTTGCTGAGTGTTGGCAGGAGCCTAGTAGCATCCAGTGCTCTTCGCAGAGAATGAAGATACACGAGATGGTGCCCCGCCTCCCTGACTTGACAGTTTCACGGAGAACACCAGGCGCTATATGAGGAAGTGCCAAAGGGTGTGGCAGAGACAGCAGCACATGCTCAGGCCAGGAGCCATCCCCTGAGGTCTGTGAGACCCAGGAAGGCCTCCTGGAGGAGGTTAGCTGGCACCCCAATACTCGGCGCTCTCCTGTCACTCGAGAGAGCTCCTGCTTCCCTGAGAGAGGGGAAGCCCTCCCTCTGGCAAACCCCAGCCCCTCTTGCTGCTGTCCCGTTTCCTCTTGTCCTGCCCTCCGTGGGGCCTGTGGCAGTAACCGCGCTAACCATTCCAACCCATCTTAGTCCTCAACCCGACGTCTCAGGATCGGGCAGGGGCTGCCGCAGACAGATCGCCCACGGACTTGTGCAGCCCAAGGGTGCAGGCCGAAACACTGTGCCTTTGGAGTAAGGTGAACTCATGGAGGCACTGGGCTAGGAGTCAGGAGACCTGGATTCTGGCGGCCCCCGCCAGTCACTACCTGCGTGACCTTGAACAGGTCACTCCTCTCTGAGCCTCGGTTTCCTCATCTGCCATATGAGGAGGTGGCACCAGGTGGCCTTTCAGGCCCCTCTAGAGACCCAGGGAGCAGAGGGATGGTAGGAAACAGCCATGGCCGAGTTTAGACAGGAACACAGAATCCTCCGCCCACAACCTGGTCGGAAAGGGGCTCAGAGTCGCCGTTCCTGTGTAACAGACGTCCCCTGTGGGAGAGGATGCAGCAGCAAACCCTCCCGGCCAGCACCACTCACAGCTGGGCGGCCCCGTGAGCTGCCTTCCCGAGCCCTCCGTGCCAGGGGCTCCCCTCACCTTGACATCCTCCCACCGCTCCTTGTCCTCCTTCAGGACCCGGCTGGTGTGCAGTGGGGTTTGAGGGACCTTCGTGGATTGCTGAGGGGAGAGAAAAGGGGTCCAAGTGAAGCCTGGGGCTGGGCAGAGCCCTGGCTAAGCCCTTGTCCTGAGGGATAGTCCCACGGAGCCAGGTCTCTCCAGCCTGCCAGGCTTACCATGATCCAGGGGTGGTTCATGAACTCCGTGATGGTCATTCTCTGAGTGGGCTCTGTTTTCAGCAGGTTCCGGATGAGCATCTTCACTGTGGGGGTGGGGCAGGGGACAGAGACAGCTCAGGGGCTGCTCTCCTCTCCTGTTCCCTCCCACAGTATTCTGGGAGAAACCAGGTTCCAACGGGGGTCACACGGGGGCAGATTGCCTAAGGAGCTGGCCCTGAGGACCATTATGGCTATACCACTTGGTAGGCCCTACACAGCCTCATGCCCCTGAGCCTGCAGCAGGCCCTTCACACAGGCAGGACATACCCAGCAGATGTAGGCACAGTACATCTCCCACGTGAGACGGATGCCCACAGGGACACGTGCGTGCGTGCACACACACACACACACACACACACACACACACAGAGGCGTGCTCATGTGGGCTCATTACCTTCCTCTGATACTTCTGACCATTCCGGGTTGGGAAACTCATACTGGCCCATCCGGATGCGACTCTTCATGCCCGGAGAGATGGCAAGGCCATGGTTGGAATAGAAGGGGGGATACCCACACAGCCTGAGCCGAGAGGAAGCAGGAAGAGAGGGACAGAGCTGGTGTTATTTGGGGGCCCTGCACCAGGAACAGAGTGAGAAACAGGCTTCTTCTTGTCCAGGTCACAGAGAAATTGGGACTTGTTGATTCAGGCACCATACACAAAGTCAAGGACAGGGCCCAGGAATCCAATCTACCAAGTGTCTAAACGACACATTTTCCTGCCCAGTAGCTAGTTTGTACCCACCACTTAGCTAGGGCATTGTGAGCAGGGGATTCCCAGGGAATCCCCCATCCAGAGGGCAATGCTAACCTTTGCCTCTTCCTCTTGTCCTGGAGAAGTACAGGCCACCTCCCACCCCAGCCCAGCCCAGCCCAGCCCTGGTGGCTCCCTTCCCGTCCCTCCCCGGCACACTCACAGGATGTACATGATGACACTCAAGGACCACGTCACCTGTCAGAAAGCCAACACATAGAGGATGCTCAGTAAATATCAGATGAGTAGATGGATGAAGCTAAGGACTAAAAAGATGCCCTGAGAAGTCCTTTTAATGACCTAGCTTCTGTCTGGACTCAGCGGTGACATCATTTGATGATGACATCATCATCATCGAAACAAATTTTTGGTTGTTATTTCACTTTATTTTTTATTTGTGTTTAGTATTTTATTTTTAAGCCACTTTTCCCCAAATAGAAGCTTCCAAAATTGTATTTAATGTGGTAAAACATAGCTGAATAAAAATAAATAAGAAAATCAAGGAAAAAAGAAAATAAAAATGGGAAAGGAGAGGAGTATGTGCCCCAAGAGCTCTTACCCAGGAGCTGAAGCCCTCCTATTATCCAGGCCGTGTCTGACTGCTGCTCAGATGAGCCATTCTGAGGGCAACGCTGGGCCACAGACCCACCATGGCCTACAGGGAAAGTGGGGTATCACAATTCACATGGGGTCCTAGCTCCTCTGGTTTGTCTTATATACCCCCACCCAGGCACATCAGAGAGCAGGTTGAGCAATGGACATTCTGGGGCATCCCTGAATCACACAGCCTCAGGGCTGGAGGCCTATGAAGGGATTCTGGTGTTTCTCAAAGAACACCAAATAACATTTTTCATGCTTCACCTCTATGAACCTTTTACTTAAAAATACCCCAGCCCTAGACCACTGAGTAGCAACGTATATAACAAAAACCAAGGGGATGTAATTTCTTTGGGTATTGTGGTTGCAAAGAGGTAGAATTTTTTTCTGTTTTCACTGACAAAAAATATATAACAATATAATTTTTCCCAACTCGCATAACACATTTGCTATTGTTTTCATAGGTTTCTAGACTAGAGTTCCATAACTCTGTAGCTTAAGTCACCAATCCCAGAGTTTACTCCCTCTCAGGAAGAAGTTCTGTAGCCATGTCAGAATCTACACGCTTATCCTCGGTGACCCTGAAGGGTGGAGTGGTGGCCCCCCTGGAGTCGTCCTGGGATGACTCGGTGGGAGGCCTTTACCATGAAGCTCAGGAGGCTTCAGCTCAGAGCCCTGACTTGCATGGACCCTTTTCTAATTTGGTATCTGTAACTTTTAATTTATTTTTTCTTAAAGACAGTCTCCAAATTATTCAAGCTTTGGGCCCCACAAAACTTAGGTCCGTTGCTGCTTGCGTTCCACTGCGGCAGAAAAGGCCAGCTGTACACTAAAGATTCCTGACCCCTTCGTAGTTGTTTCCGGGAAGTGGCTACCCAGCCAGGGCCTACATTTTCCAGCCCCTCGGTGACTGGGTTCTAATCACTGGAGTGTGGGTGGAAGGGATATACCCGCCGTCCCCGGGCCTGGCCTATTGAAACCTCCTGACGATCCTCCCTTTTCCTTATCTTCTGACTGCGTGCTGACATCCAGGACAGCTGGGAAAGCCACGCGTCGATGACAGCAAAGTGTAATTAGGAGTTTGACTCTATGTTTGATGTTTGCTGACAGCTTTCAAGCCCACTACTCCCCTTTCTTCTTCTGCCTTGCAAAACTGATAAGAAAGCTTGAGTGTGCCCTCCTTTGGCATAGGCAAGAAGTTCAAACTATGTAATCTCAGCCTGTGCCTGGGAATCCTTTCCCAAGCCCCATCACCTAACTCTCATAAAACCCCAAGCCAGTTACCCCTTCTTGCTCTCTCTCTCTCAAGCTATTTTTGGACCTGCCTGGGAAGCTGCCCTGCTTCCCCCAGAAAGCCTCATTATTTGAGTTAAACCTCTCCACGCCTTCTTGGTGTGTGCGGAGACATCATCATTCTCGACATCTGAACTATATTTTGGGTGTGGGGGTCCATCCTGTCTCTGAGGGGTGACTATGACACAGACAGGGCTTCCGGCAGCTGAGTGGCTGCAGGAGCAGGAGTCTTGCCTGCATTTCTCCTCCACACACCTTCCTTCCATGAGTGAGAAATAAACTTCCATTGTGTTAAGTCACTGAGGTTTCAGGATTTATCTATTACAGCAGCTAGTCTTACCTTAACTAACATACTCTATGATAAAGCTGACTCTCTAGTTCTGATCATTTCTGTCTAATTAACCCAATATCCTAAGTAACTTTTGGGAAATCTGAAAAGAAACCATTCGGTGTTTCTCTTGCTGGCTTGAAAGAAGGTGCTGACTCCTTATCTAGCAAAGAAATTGTGGCTAGCAAAGCCATTTGATTCAGGATACAGGAATAACGATGCTGTGATTCTGGAATGACGGATTATTTGTTTGCATCACAGTATTAATATGACTTTATTTATTCTTAGTATTTTCCCCTGGAAAAAAGAGGGAAGGGAGGAGGGGGTTATCATGTGTTATGAAACAGTAAGAGAAAGGAGGGAAGGGAAGAACGCGGTACAACGAAATCAGCCGTGAAACACACCTCAGTCATGGGGCCACCAAATCCCAAGGGAGATGTAGGTTAGGAGCTTCCCCACCCTCCCTTCCTCTTCTCTATGAATTCAAGATTTCACACAAAACTTTGGTTTCTGGCAGTAAACGTGGAGTTTCATTTGTCCCATCTCCTACTGAACCAGCTTCAGCTCCTGTGACGTACGTTGTTCCTGATATGCATGCCTCTTCTTTCTCAGTCTCCCACTCTCTCCCAGCGTCTGTGTGAAAGGCTCCCCACTGCTTCTCTCTACCTTAGGAGTGCAGTGGAATGCAGATTATTAAACCAGTGGTGTCCAAGCAAGTAGAAGAGAGGGCAACAGTCACCAGGATCCAGTAAAGTGTCACTGTTTAGGTCCCACCTTTAAGGCTGTGAAAGCCACTTGTCGGAATTGTGCTTAGGGAGATGGCTGAATCAGGAGGAGACTGTAAGTGTGGGTGCAGAGGAGCCTCAAAGTCAGGCCTGGGAGACAACGTACCTCAAATCTAAATGCTAAAGCAGGACAGAACAAGTAGCATAGTCAGTAGGTCAGATTGTCTAGGGTAGAGAAATTCAGGTTCACTCAACAAAATGAACAGATGATTTTGCACGGTGCCTGTCTTGAGTGGAGAGGGCAGATTCAAGGTCATTCTGGTCTAGACAAGCTACTTGTTTCATATGGTCACTGGACTGGTAGATACGGACTTCTGGTAGACTTGATGTATCTGGATTCCATCAAGGCATCTGAGAAAGTTTTATGTGATCAATTTGTGGATAAGATATAACTCGATTACTTCTAGCTGGGAGAAGGGCCTTGATTGATATCTGATGTGCTATGGCCTTCACCCAACATGTTTAATGTTCTGTCAACCTGGACAAAGGTATAGAAGCCAAGTTTATCAAAAGTTATGTTGATTGCCCCGAGTACCTAAGACTAAAGCAGACATGGATGAACATAAATTGTAAATTTAATTTAAAAAACTTCATTGTACAATGCAGAATGAGAATGAGATAACTTGGTCATAGTTCAAATAAAAAAGACGTGGGATTTTAGCTGACCCCTGGGTATTAGTTTCCTAGGGCTACTGTAAAAAACTACCACAAACTGGGTGGCTTAAAACAACAGAAATGTATTCTCTCAAGTTCTGGGGGCTAGAAGTTCAAAATCAAGGTGTCAGCAGGGCTATGCTCATTCTGAAGACTCTAGGGAAGACTCTTCCTTGCCTCTTCTAGTTTCTGGTGGTTGACAGCAATCTTTGGAGTTCCTTGGTTTGTGGCCACATAACTCCAATTCTGCCGCCGTCTTCACCTGGCCATCTTCCCTCTGCGTCTATGTCTCTGTATCCAAATTTCCCTTTTGTTGTAAGAACACACAGTCATTGGAGTCATTGCTCCAGGATAACCTTATCTTAACTTGATTACAACTAGGCAGACCCTATTTTCAAATAAGATCACATTCAGAGGTACCAGGGGGTTAGAACTTGAACGTATCTTTCAGGGAGACCCAATTAAACCCATGACACCTAGCATGGCCAACAGTTTGGTGCAGCTGCTGCTAAAGGATCTGCATGATGTGGTGAGGCTGCATCATGGTGGATAATCCCGGAGAAGGAGGTGAAAGTCCTAACCCACCTCAGCGGGCACGTCCAGTGGACTCTCGGCAGGACTTTGCTCTTCCTAATCCCTTGGATTCCATGCATCATACTCCATTTTTCCTGTTATCTTTCTGGCTGTTTCTCCTTGGTCTCCATTGCTGATACTTCTTCCTCAGCACACCCATTAAACGATTGTATTCCTCAGCACTTTAAACCTTCTCTTCTCATTCTACATGTTCTTTCTGAGTGAGTTGACATCCTCTCCTGTGATTTCAGTTACCATTTTTACACTGATGACTCTGGAATCTTGTGGCGATGTCTCCTGAAATCCAATTAGACATTTCCACTTAGATATCTTCAAATATCCCAACTGAATATACCCAACATTGGGCTCTTCATCTTCCTCCTGTTTTTAAACCTAGGCCTTCTCCAGGGTTTCTAGTCTCAGTGGAGGGCATCACTGTTTGCCCATTTGTCTGACATCCTTGCTTTCTCTCTTTTCTTCACTCTCCACATCCAGGCATCCATCAAATCTAACTGACACTATGTCTGAACTATTGCACAAATATGTCTATGTAATTTCCTTTTTATTTCCACTGCTGCTACCTTCGTTCAGGCCACTGTCTGATTTTTTTTGGCTTGGATTACTGTAACAGGTTTTGAATTGGTCTCCCAGCCTCTGGTCTTATTCTCCTCTAATCCACTTTCCACACAGCAGCCAGAATGCAAATATGATCATGTTACTTCCCTGCTTAATTCCCTTCAATGGATTCCCACCCTCTTTAGGATATGAGTCAACCTCCCTAAATGGCCCAATAGAAACTGTATGGCCTGATTCCTGCTTACTTCCCAGGACTCATTTCTCTCTATTTCCTCCTCTTACTCTCACACCCTCCCCCTTCTCCTCCACATCGTTATACCTGCTGTCCCCTCAGCCCAGCACACTGTTCCTTTCTCTCTTTGCCTAATTAACTGATACTCATATTTCCGG